CAATCATTCATTCAAACAATCAATCAATCGGTCGGTGAGTCGGTCAGCCAACCATCCAACCAACCAACCACTTAATGACCTGCAGATGTGGCCAGGCAGCTTCGAGAGCAGGTTCATCTTCCTCTGGATCAAATTCAGTGTTCGTGCTGGCATTTGAAGTAGGAGGTAAGGTGCGAAACGTGTTCATTACAAACTGTACGTGAGTGTGCGTATGTGTGTGTGTGCGTGTGCGTGTACGTGTGTGTGTTCATCCATGCCCGTACGTCGCCTAACCATCTGGATGACGATGGGGTATACATTCTCACTGATGGCCGCCTTGCTGGTGCTGATGTACTCGATGAGTTCGTTGAGGGCGGCCCTCTTGATTTCCTTGTACTTGAGGTCGCTCAGTGGGTCCTTCACGAAGTCGAAGATCACCAGCGTCTGGTTCAACTTCTGAATCAGCAGAGTCTCTTTGTCGTTCGCTGAAGCTTCTGTTTGTCGGAGTGTGATGGTGATGATGATGATTGTGGTGATGATGATGATTGTGGTGATGATGATGATGATTGTGGTGATGACGACGATAACATAGAAACCGCAAGAACATAGAAACAACAAAAAATAAACAAATTAGAAGAACTAGATAACGAGAACAACGAAATTGACCTTTAAGTAGAGGCAACTTCATGAGCTCTCTATTCTTCGAGACGTTGAAATGTGACGAATCCGTGCGCTTCTCCTTCTTCAACTTCAACGTTTCAGGCAGGGGGTTGATGCGATTCAGTTGAGTGACAGGTGGATGTGTACTGCTTGCTGGTTCAATCAATCAGTCAATCAATCAATCAATCAATCAATCAATCAATCAATCAATCAATCAATCAATCAATCAATCAATCAATCAATCAATCAATCAATCAATCAATCAATCAATCAATTAATCAATCAATCAATCAACCAACCAACCAATCAACCAACTAACCAATTAACCAATAAACAAACCAATCAACCAACCAATCACCAAACCAATCGACCAACCAATCGACCAACCAATCGACCAACCAATCCACCGACTAGCCAGCCAGCCAACAAACCAATCAGACACACAAATGTGGGTCACTACTACCTGATTCGTTACTATACCCGCCTCCACCAACAATGGACATTGTGGTGTTCGAGGAAGAGGATGTTGATGTTGATTGGCCGAATTTCTTTTTCTGTATGGCAGTGTGCGTGTGTGTGTGTGTCTGTGCGTGTGTGATACGAATAAAAATTAAATCATATTATAATCAAACAGTTATACTTCTACAATTGATTTGATTTGATATATTTAATAATATCAACAAAATATAATCACCATCACCATCAGGGCAGTATTATCAACACTAGCAATCATACAAATACAAACACACACTCAAACACACACACACAAACATACATAAATACATACATACACATACACACACACACACACACACACATATATACATACATACATACATACGCATATTTACCAAGTTTTTAAGTAATCTAAGTGTTTTATTCACTTATATTTTCCTTCTTCCTTCACTTATTAATTATTCATTCATTCATTCATTCATTCATTCATTCATTCATTCATTCATTCATTCATTCACTCATTCATTTCATCCTCAGTTATTTACTAAATGTTCCTTTAAAATGCATGAAAATAAGTGTTAAATATAGAAGAAGTTGTAGTAGTAGTAGTAGCGGTAGTAGTAGTAGTAATAGTAGTAGTAGTAGAAGATGTAGTAGTTGTAGTAGTAGTAGTAGAAGATGTAGTAGTTGTAGTAGTAGTAGTAGAAGATGTAGTAGTTGTAGTAGTAGTTGTAGTGAGAGTAAAATGTCATAGCGATAACAACAGGTTATAAAAAATTTTTTCTTTGATATAATTTAGAAAAAGTCAACAACAACAACAACAATAATAATAACAATAATAATAATAAAAATATTAATGACTATTATCACTAATAATTATATTATTATTATTATTATTAAATTATATTCAGGATTAAAGTGAACAAGAATGCATCTCCAGCTAAGTTTAGTAGGTAGGTTATGCAGGTAGACAGTTTAGAAGAAAATATAATTAATTATAATAATAATAATAGTTTCAATAATAATATAAATTATATTAATAATAATAATAATTGACATTATTACTACTGTCAAGATGTTTAGTTCTCAAGTATATAATTATTGCAGTGTATTAATTTAAATTATTTATTTTTGTACTAAACGCATACACAAACACACACACACACACACACGCGCGCGCGCGCACACAATCATTACTAATATTTTTACTATCTTGAAATTAGGTGGTACGGAATGTAGGAAAGTAAAGGAGAAAGAAAGAAGAGAAAATGCAAGAGCAGAGAATGCCAATGAGACTCTTAAAAAAAATTTAAACGAAAAAATACAATCCAAGAGTAAAAGTGAAATACAGATAAAAATACAAAAAGTATACAACAAAATATGCAACAAAAATAAACAAAACACAACAACAACAACAACTACTACTACAGTACAGCAAAATACAAACTAAGATTACAAAAACTAATGTCTTGAATGCATATATAAGCACGCATATATAAAGATAAACATAAAACTATTTTTGGCCCTCAGACGCACACACATAAATAAATACATACCCATACTTATAATACATAAACACACACACAAACAGAGATTTATAAAAAAATATATATATAAACAAATATTAAGCAATACAGTGTGTAACACTGATGATGGCTTACTGATCCTAATAAACTACATATAGTTTAATAATGTCAATGTTTGATACCATTTATTTAAAGTTTATTTAAATATCTAATCAATGTTAACAATGTTTAATATATATTCATTAATGCCATATCTTTATTTAGTTATTTAGTATGCAATAAGTTTTGCTTATGCTTACTGTTTAATAAAATCATTTTATCAAAGAATTTAAATGTCTTTTCTTAAATTTTTTGAAGGAACTTGAAAAATGTATTTATCCATACATACAAATCTCTCTCTCTCTCTCTCTCTCTCTCTCTCTCTCTCTATTTATTCATACTATGATGTCTGTGTGATTACCCCATAGTTTAAGAGATATTATACTAAACTAATCACTACTCACTATCATGTTTAACTATCAACTTATGTCATCTTTTATATTTTATAATCTAAAACTCATATTTTTCAATAGTCAATTTTTAAACATTCAAACAAAAATTTAAAATAAGCCATTAATTCCATTGATTCAATAAAATAAATTAGATGAAAAACATTTCACACTGATTAATTAATTAAATGAATTAGTAAAATTTTCACAAACATCATTCTCTGAGGTTTCTTTAGAAACCTTTTCAGAACCTTTGGCCACTGATTTGTCTTTATCTTTACTAGAGGACTAAATTTAAAAATTACAAAAAATACTATAAATTACAAAAAAAATATCATTTAAAAATTATTTTTTAAAGAAATTTAAGAGCAGAACATTGTAGAACAATTTTTTATTTTAAACACAAATTTTTATGATAAACACCTGTCTATGATCATGAGATTTTATTAAAAAATTCAGTAAAAATAACCAAATGAACCCAAAAAACTGTAAAAAAAAAAGCTATTCATAAAGAAAGGTTTTTATAATTTATAAATTTGATTTCAAAAAAATGTACTAACTTTATCCTTCTTACCAAGTCTCGGAATGGTAGGCATATTGGCTTACTTACTTATTTATTCCAATTTTTCAATCAGGTAGTGTCGTGAAATTGAAAAAAAAACTTGTCTTGATGCTGCAAATAGAGTGCAATTGCAATACTAATTCCAATGTTATAATTATATTTTCAGAGATCTCTTCTTAATAAAATGTTTTTGATATTTATTTATTTATTATTAAATTAATTTATTTTGTTAATCGAACAATTATTTAACGATTTATTATTATTTTTAAATAAAACTCAGCGAAACCATTTAAAAATTAAGTCAAAGTTAGAACTTTAGATTTTTAGAAGGACCATGTAAACACAGCATGGCTGCTTAAAAGGCATAATTTTAACTTTATTAAAAAATTATTTATTTATTTGTTTAACAAAAATTTTTTTTTTAAATAATATAATTTTTATCTATTAATAAATTTAAATTTTGCAGTTTAAATGTCAATTAAGCAGAAACCTTTACCAATTTTAACTATCATCGATTGTAGAACATCAAACTAATTGGACCAGCAGATGATTATATGTACAGCGACCTGGTACAAAAAGCTGGGCGGGGTTAGGTCTTCGATGTCATTCTTGTAAAGCAAACATTAACTAACGAGAATATGATATGCCTTATGGTATGATATGTCTTTGAATTTCAGACACACACTTCTACCGTCTAGCAAGTAAGCTAACTTGGTACCTGCTTTCTATATCCACGCCATACCTATCTATCTATCCATCTATCTATCGCTCAATATCAATCCCACCAATACCAAGTAGTGGTATTGGTTAGTATGTATGGTGTGAAACGCTTTTTAGTTTTTTCATTCAAAATTTTTGAAGTTTTGTCCAGAATTTTACGGACTTGAACTCATTGATATGTTATTGTTTAAATTTACTTTTAGGCATGAGGCAAAAATTTGTTCCTATAGCAACGCACGTGCGACGATGGTGAAAACACAAAAATCATCCGAGTTGCGAAAAATTAGGGATTTACGTGAGAATCTGTCGGCAGGTTGTTGGGGATAGTCGGAAATAAAAAGTAAAAATGAATGAATTAAAGCACGGTTTTAGATCATTTTACTTCAATCCCATGTTGCTAACAACGTCTCCAAGTGCACATACCCAATTGGAAGTGCAGTGCTACACTGAAGTATCGGAATAATGACAAAAATAGGCTTGCCTTTTGTATGTTAGTGTGTGTATGTGTGTGTGTGTGTGTGTGGGTGTGTGTGTGTGATGTGTGTGTGTGTGTGTGTGTGTGTGTGTGTGTTTATTAGCGTTTGCTATTGTATTTTAGGCAAGTTTGTTTTTTAATTTGCGTTATATTTGTGTCAAATTTCAACGCTTTTGTTTTTCCATCCCTCTTTCGTTTTTCCATAGCTTTTCATCGTCATACAAACATACGTACATAGACATACAGACACACATATAGACACATACATACACTCATATATACATATGAATGCCTACACGCATAGGTAAAAACATTTATAATAGGAAGCTTGCATAAGAACAGCCCAACTAGATGCCACCGTAAAACACATGTCGATGGAAAATTACGGAATAGAAGATTGACAAAATAGATGATGAAGGGGTGAATTCATGAACGAATAAATGAATGAGTGGATGAATGAATGAATCAATCATTTTGTGAAAATGGTTTTATTCCGTGAAGGATAAAATGGTTATCAAAATTTCTTATAAAATCCCGGCAAGTTTGTTAGAATTTATTTACACATAATTACAGTTGATATTATTTCTTTGCTTTTTCGCATAAATAATATAAATTTTATTTCTAAATATTTAGTTGAGCAGTTTTGTTCGTTTGATGAAAATTTTTAAAGATGATAACGCTACAAATCATAGTCGCTGTTCTTTCATTAACATGTTTGTTTAAAGGTATGTATGTATATTTGTGTGTGTGTGTATGTGTGTGTGTGTATGTGTGCGTGTGTGTGTATACATAGTGTCATGTCCGTGTGTGAGTGTATATGTAATTATTATTTTTTTTTGTTTTGCCTATTGTCCACAAAATTCTAGCTTCGTGTGTAGAGACAACTACGACTGACAAGAATGACGTCGTTACGTCACAACAGCAACAACAACAGCAACAACAACAGCAACAACAACAGCAACAACAACAGCTGTCGGCTTGGACTTGTAGGGAAAGATTGAACGAGATAACAAGAGTTGCTAAAATTTGCATCCAGTTTTATGTTAGCTATAAGTGTAATATTTGTTCATTAGTTCGTTCATTCATTCGTTCATTCATTCATTCATTCATTCACCAGGAAAAGATGTTTGAGACTAGCATGAACTGGCAGGAGCACCTAGCAATGCTAAGGAGGAAATCACTTCATGCCCATCAGCGTCGCCAGAATAACGTCCGCTCATTTTTTTTGTTTCGTTACCAAAGTTATTTAAATCAACAATTGATAATAATGATATATTATTAATAACAAAAAACACTAATAATAATAATAACAATAATAATAATTATCTTTTGTAGGCTGGCCGTCATGAGACCTTCCATATTTTAAAAGATCAGTTGACAAAATTTCAACATTTGGCAAATGAATTGAAACGGAACGACGCAGGGATGTACCGATGCGGTTTTAACGAGTACTCGATATTCGAGGAACCCGGTTTCGTCGATTTACATAGTGCGCTACATAATTTGGACGTGTTTTTCCAATTAAATGGTAGCAATATTGGCTCCGCTACTACTACCACAACAACTACTGACAACATCATTAACGCTCGTCGTCGTCGTCGTAGCAATAGTAGCAGCAGCACCAGCAGCAGCAGCAGTTGTAGTAGTAGCGGCAGTAGTAGTTGTGTTCACACGCAAACCACGACAAACAATCCACAGCATAACACTGCCCAGATCGGAGATCGAACCCGGTGCCTTCGAGATATGGTAAGCAAGGTGGACCAATTAGAAATCGGCTACATGATGGTGTGGTTTATTTTCAATTCTTATTTGCCAAATCTTCAGAGTTATGCTGTTTTATTTAGTTGTTGTGGTTGACACACACACACACACGCACACACATTCATTCGTGCAAGTTTAGACGGCATATTTGTGATATTTTTAAACATTTCTGTCATATTTATTCTGGTTTATTAATAGCTCAATCACGTTTTTACATTTTCGTTTATACAATTCATCTTTTTCCATATTTAATGGGATGTGTAGGTAGGTATATATGCAAACAACCAAACACACACATACAGACACACACTCATAATATAACGCATAAATACATGCATACATATTTTACAACTTAGTTTATTTAAACTAAACCTAATGTTGATTGTGATTGTAAATAAATAACTATTTTCTGTATATTTCAGACAATTCCATTACATTCAATCAGTCTTTTACATACAATTTAACATTTTTTTAGGGATTCAATGTTGTGTTGTTCTTTTTTGAATAAAATTCATCATGCTAAAAAAAAATTTGGCGCTTCATGAT